CCAACACTTGGTGCATAGCTTTGTGTTTGTTGTAACCTCTCCAACTCTCTTTATTATAATAAAGAGAGTTAAACTCATTTAAGAGTCCAATGTGGGAGTGACTCTTGACCTTTCAAATCTCACAATCAACGTTTTACGTGCCCTTTTATGGCTAACTTTAACAATTTATTTCTTACTCACCGAAAATCAGTTTTGAGAAAATAAATATACCACGAGTATCTACTCGGAACGTAGAATTTTTCTACAATATTTAATTCAACTCAAATTAAATATTTAGCCATCAAAAATTCAGTCAAAATCGGGTCAAACCCATATTTTATAACTGATTTTTCCAACAATGGGTACATTTATTAGTATTTTATTTAAAAATATGATATTTGAATAATATAAATTTTTTTAAACATGTTGAAATTGTATGATTGTTTAACTACAAAAGTATAAATCAAGCTTTTTATTATTTTTATATAGTATTAATTTTAATTATTGTATTTTGTTAACTCATATCCATTTAAATCTCAAATCTATCTTTTTTTTTAAAAAAAAAAATTATTTCATTTTTTCTGTCTATATATTTCACCCTTATCTCTTCAAGTCCAAAAATATTGAAAACTCATTTTAATTCAACACATAATAAAACCATATTTTATAATATATCACATCATATTGGTTCTACATTTTTAATTTATAAATATTTATTTCATGATTTTTTTTTTTTAATTTAAAAATATTAGTGAGTATTTTTTAACCTTACATCGCACGGAATTCGTACTAATTTATAACTATAACTATACTTACAAAAATAAATATCAAATAAACAGTATGCTCAATTTTGTTGTCTATTTTCGGTAAACAAAGAAAGAGATATTAAATAAATGATGCTATAATTCATTATGTCATAGTGGGTTCATAATAATTTGGTGGTCTACATCCCATGTTAAGTGAGTGCTACTTCGTCAGATCTAATGGTCACAGTTAGCTTTCAATATCCAAGAGTATAAAATAAAATGAAGGGATGATACCTTTATTGAGTAAGAGAAAATGTATTTTATAACTTAAAATTGATTAAATATTTATAATATTAAAAGTTGTTTTTTCCAATTTGGATAGGGATTAGTAAACGAAGGGCTTTTATATGTGTGTACATTGACTTCATATTATCGAGGTTTAGCGTTTGTGAAATTGACGATGGATTGTGACGAAAGAGGTGCCGATTTCTCAATGGATGTAAGTCAGATGTCGATTTGTCAATAATTTTATGATATTGTTGTCTGCTGTGGATTTTGTTGGAATGAATTGGTTTTTTTTTTTTTTT